TCTGGCCCTCATATTGCATACCACTTCCGGAGCATACTTGGCCAGAGAGATGAACTTGAGGTAGTACTCATTCACACTCATATCATTCTGTCTGAGTCTCTCAAACTCCAAAACCTTAGCTTCCAAGACCTCAATGAGTAGAAAGTGCTCAAGGAACGCATCTGCAAACTCCATCCAAGTCGTAGGATCCGTATCCTCCCCTCGAGACTCTTCCCATGTTTCATACCAAGTGTTGGCAATATCCTTCAGTTGGTATGCAGCAAGCTCTGCTGCCTCAGTGTTTGTAGCATGCATCACTCGAAATATTTTCTGAACCTCATCAATGAAGTTTTGCGGATCCTCATCCTTTTTGGACCCCGTGAAGACGGGAGGTTTCATGTTGAGGAATTCCCTAGACCTGGAACTACCCGTCTCATGTACATCACTTGTTCCCTACCTTTGAGTCTGAGTAGCAACAATCTGAGTGAGCAACTGGATAGCTCCCCTGACATCCATGTCTGAAACACTGGGCATTGAGCTTGGTGCAACCCCCTGGGCCGAAGTGTCCTCCTCCTGAGCATCATTAGTTGTGGCCCCCTGGCTAGTAGCTGAGGCCCTTCTGGTGTACTTTCTTTTAGCAGGCATTTTTCTGAAATACGCAATTCGCACGGGTTAGAAAGATTCATGAAAACATAGCTCTAACTGCACGATCTAGAGTATGAAAGAAATGGAACAATCCAAGATGTCTTGGTGGTCAACTATTTACATGTGTGGCGCGCACACACACTAAAAGAGACCCCACTGGACCTGGCTTCATAAACTCCCTAGGACTCTTGAACCTAGGGCTCTGATACCAAGCTTTTTCACGCTCCGAACCATGGTCTTGGCGTAACACNATATATATATATGCACAACTGCAGCCTCGAGCCCAAGTATACGTATACCTAACTGCAATCTCAGGTCCAAAATGCATAAAGCATAAACAGCAGCCTCAGGCCCAAATACAGGTGTTCAACATTCAAGAATATAAAATCTGGAACTGAGAATCATATTACAACACATGATACTGAAATAATGAGCCATACCAAGTTACATGATACTGGATTAGTGATAGGATTAGACTGAGATGACTATTCATAATAAGTTGATATATCATAACTGAAACTCATAGAATATCGATTGATTATGGAACTATGCCATCTAGAGAATAGAAGTTCTACTACTATTCAGGGAAATGAGGCATAGTTATTTTCTAAGGAAACTGGTAATGGTCATAATAAATGGGACGTAGGGAGAATCATGGACATTCCCAAACGTAAAGAGTTAGCCTTACATACCTTAACTTCCTGCCCTTGAGCGTAATACAATGTTCGTCAACCCTTTCAACTTTAATCTATAGCAATACAAGTCAAAGGGATTCCATATTAGCTATGATGCTCATGTTTTGGTCATTTAAGCATTTTATCAAACACTTGGTTGAAATAAAGCTTCATATTCCTTATTAATGATTTCTCTACACCCAACAACCCATTCTCTTGTTCCTTGATAAATTTTAAAGTTTTAAATGATTATATCAACATTATTCTTCATCACCCATAATGTAAACAACACCCTTATCCAATAATCAACACTCAACACCCCAATCCTATAATCGTTCACGCTTTTCTATCAAACTCATCAACTCATATCTCATGAACTAGGGTTTATAATCATTAAACAAATGCCATAATCAATTAAGACATTACCTTTTTGAAGTTCAAACCCTTTGAATTCAAGTTCTAGGCTTCCTTATCTCAACAATGATGTCTCAATCGAATATCTAATGATATGGAGGGTTTACCCATGTTAATAAGATGTTGAGAAATTGAAATTAACTTAGAATCACCATTAGAACTTACCTTGGGTGGTGGAAGGACCCTTAAGGAGTTAGGTTTTTGAGAGTTCCTCTTTCTAGAGCAAGTTTTTATGTTTTGGGCCTGTGGGGGACAAAATATAGCTTTAAAACGACCCCCCACTAGTGCGCTCGCACATATGGAGGCCTGCCCGCACTACTGACCGCGCTAAATGGTAGTAACATTGCCTCAAAATTAGCGCGGTCGTACTAAGGGTGTGCTACCGGCGTGCATATCGCATAATGTTCTGTAAAATGCGTATAATGTTTTGCACAAAGATCCGTTTAGGCTCTATAATATATCATTGGAAAGCTATTTCAATTTCCTACAACTTTCATGCTTTGAGTTTTCCTAAATTCCTTACTCATTTTCACTAAAACCTGCTGGAATATGAACCTTTTACAAACTTTGTCGATTTTGTCAAATCTTATGCACCTCACTTTCCATCTTGATTTTGAAATAACTATTTTCATCCATAATCATCCCCATGGGACTTTTACATGTTCAAGTTATAACCTTACCACTCATTTAACACATTCACACCTAAGACGAATTTACGGGGTGTTATATATTCATGTTCGACTGATTTTGAGGATTGAGTTTGCTTTCATTAGTTAACTCCTTTGTCGTTATTTCCTGTGTTCTTTTTATATTGTTATATAATTATTACATAGTGTATAAGTTATTGTAAGTGACCCACTTTAGCCTCGTTATTACTTTGTCAAAGTTAGGCTCATCACTTGCAGAGTACATGGGGTCATTGTACTTATACTACACTCTACACTTCTTGTGCAAATTTTGGAGTCAGTCCTAGCGGTGGTCAGTAGATTGCTCGGATTGATTACCTAACGGATACTTGAGGTACAGTTTCACGGCGTTCGCAGCCTTGAAGTCCCCTTCTACCTAATTCTAGTTGTTTGTTTCGTTTCAATCAGTTATGTTTTCATTCATATCATTACTTGTAATACTCTAGTCGCTCGTGTACTTGTGACACTAGTTCTAGGATTGTATCAAAATATTGTTGTTATTATGGTTTTTCTCACTCTATTTCAGTTTATTCAGTTTCTTGGTTATTATTTAATCTGAATTATTAGAAATGGCTAAAAACTATTCTAACGTTGCTTGCCTAGCAAGTGAAATGTTAGGCGCCATCACGGTCTCGAGGGTAGGAATTCCGGTTCGTGACAAGTTGGTATCAAAGCTCTAGGTTGCCTAGGTCTGACGAGTCACGAGCAAGCTTAGTAGAGTTTGGAGGATAAGCATGGAGACATCTGTACTTATACTCCAGAGGCTATGGAGTTTAGGAAAAATTTCACCTCTTTCTTCCTCTAGCGTGCAATTTTGTTCTATCATTAATGATTGAACCATTCTATTCTTGTTCTCTCGCATATGGAAAGAACTCGCACTACATCTACAGCCGGAGCCCCTATGGCAGCTACTACCATGGGCAGAGGCTGAGGCAGAGTCAGAGGTAGAGCTTAGCCTAGAGCTCAAGTAGCAGCACCTGCAGTGGAGTGTTAGATTGATCACGAGGAGGAGGTTCCAGCTCAGACTGTACCCGTCGGACCAACTCAGGTCCCAGAGGGGTTCATAGCCACTCCAGTGCTTCAGGACACTCTAGTCTATTTGGTGGGTCTTATGGAGAGTATGGCCCATATCGGTAATTCCCAGTCTCTCGGGCTAGGGGAGGAGCACAGACTCCCGCTACTCACACTCCAGAACAGGTGGCTCCCCAGTATCAAACTCCAGCAGCCCCGCCAGTTAGGGTGGTTCAGCCGGTTATTGCGGCACAGGCCGGTGATCGGCCCGCTATGTCTTCTAAGGCTTTGTTGAGGTTGGAAACATTTACCAAGATCATTCCTATTAATTTCAGTAGTGAACCTTCTAAGGGCCCACAGGATTATCTAGACCGCTGCCACGAGATGTTGTGAAACATGGGTATAGTTGAGACCAATGGGGTTGATTTTGTAGTATTTTAGATTGCTGGTTCCGCCAGGAAATGGTGGAGAGATTATATATTGACTAGACCAGCTAGTTTGCCTGCACTTAGCTAGGATCAGTTTTTACAGCTATTTCTAGAGAAGTTCAACCCTATCACTTTGAGAGAGGATTACCGTAGACAGTTTGAGTGTCTTCAATAGGGTAGAATAATTGTTACCAGTACGAGACTCAATTTGTGGACCTAGCTCGTCATGTCATTATCTTGCTTCCTACTAAGAGGGAGAGAGTGAGGAAATTCATTATTCACTATCAGGCTACAGATGGCCAAGGAGACTAGAGATGATATTATTTTTCATAGGGATATAGATATTGCTAGACGAATCAAGATGGTTCGTGCTTAGGAAGGGGGGTGCCTCATCTGGAGGCAGGGGTACGTTTGGTAAAGGCTATCCTCTCAGGTCACTTCAGCCAGCGTTACATGCATCTTAGAGTACTTCAGGGAGTCGTGGAGCCAGCCTATAGTGCACCATCAACTTCGATCAGTGCGCCTCCGATTCAGAGCTTTCATCGTGGTTATCTGGCCCGTTTGGGTCATTTTCAGCAGTCACATGCTGAGGATGGGTGTTTTAAGTGTGGAGGTACTGTTCATATCAGGAGGTTCTGTTCGAGATTGTTGGGCGGCATGCCATGGAAGAGTTCTCGTGCCATAGTCCGGGTATCGGTTGCTCTACTGCCCCTCAACCAGCTAGAGGCAGGGGTCAGGCAGCCATAGGTGGAGGTCAGTACGTTGGAGGTGGAGGTCATGCCTTTAGAGGTGGAGGCCAGCCAGCTAGAGGCCATCCCAGAGACGTAGGTCAGAGTGGTGGGGCCTAGCCTCGTTATCACAGGTATTGTTCTAGTTTGCCATAGAGATGCTTCAGTTCTATTTTATCCGTGCTCTACTTATTCCTACGCGTCACCCTTGCTTCAAATTTTGTTGTGCCTCATGATTCTTTAAATGCTCATGTGTATGTCCACGCCTGTGGGAGATTCTATTATTGTAGATCACGTCTATCGCTCGTGTGTGATTACTATTGGGAGTCTTGAAACTAGCATAGATCTCATACTTCTTGATATGGTAGATTTTGATGTTATTTTGGGCATGGATGGTTGTCACCTTATCATGCTATATTAGAGTGCCATGCCAAGATGGTGACCTTATCTACGTTGGGGTTACGTCGATCAGAATGGAGGGGGACTCCTGGCCATTCTACCAGCAGGGTAATTTCTTATGTCAAGGCTCGACGTATAGTAGAGAAGGGATGTCTAGCTTATTTGGCTTATATTTATGATTCAAGTGCGGAGGTTACTTTTATAGATTCAGTACTAGTTGTGCATGAGTTTCCAGAGGTATTTCCTGTAGATCTGCCAGGGATGCCACCCGATAGAGATATTGACTACTATATTGATTTGGCCTCGGGCATTCAACCCATTTCTATTCCACCATACCGTATGGCCCCGCCGGAGTTGAAGGAAATGAAGGAGCAGTTGCAAGATTTGGTGAATAAGGGATTTATTAGTCCTAGTGTCTCGCCCTGGGGTACGCCCGCATTGTTCGTGAAGAAGAAAGATGGGTCGATGAGGATGTGCATAGATTATTGGTAGTTGAACAAGGTCACTATCAACAACAAGTATTTGTTGTCGAGGATTGATGATTTATTTGATCAACTTTAGGGTGCCAAGGTGTTTTCGAAGATTGGTTTGAGGTTTGGCTACCATCACTTGAAAATTAAGGCATCGAATTTCCCTAAGATGGCTTTTTGGACTCGGTATGGGCATTATGAGTTCCTAGTGATGTCATTTGGGTTGATAAATGCCCTAGTAGCATTTATGGATTTGATAAACCGGGTGTTCAAACCCTATTTGGATTCTTTTGTGATTGTACTCATTGATGATATCTTGATCTACTCCCGCAGTCGAGAGGAGCATGAGCACCATCTTCGGATTGTACTTAAGACTCTGAGAGATAACTAGTTATATGTCGAGTTTTCAAAGTGTGAATTTTGGTTAGACTCAGTCACCATTTTAAGGCATGTTGTATCGGCTATAGTGATCTGGAGTTTCTTAGGTTTGGTGGGTTATTATCACTAGTTCATAGAGGGATTTTCATCCATAGCAGCCCATTGACTAGATTGACCTAGAAGGGTCCCCATTCAGATGGTCGGATGAGTGTGAGTTGAGCTTTCAGAAGCTCAAGACTGCTTTGACTACGGCGCCAGTGTTGGTGTTGCCTACAGGTTCAGGATCTTACACAGTGTACTGTGATGCATCTAGTATTGGGCTCGGTGCAGTATTGATGCAGGATGGTAGTGTGATGCATACGCATCGCGGTAGTTGAAGGTTCATGAGAAAATTACCTTGTTCATGACTTAGAGTTAGCATTCATTATTCATGTGATGAAGATTTGGAGGCACTATTTTTACGGTGTGTCGTGTAAGGTATTCATGGATCATCGGAGTCTACAGTATTTTTTCAAGAAAAAAGATCTCAACTTGAGGTAAAGGAGGTGGTTGGAGCTATTGAAAGACTATGCTATCACCATTTTGTATCAACCAGGGAAGGCCAATGTGGTGGCCGATTCCTTGAGTAGTAAGGCTGTGAGTATGGGTAGCCTTGCATATATTCTAGTTGGTGAGAGGCCTCTTGCATCGGATGTTTAGGCTTTGTCCAATCAGTTCGTAAGGTTAGATGTTTCAGAGCCCAGTCGTGCTCTAGCTTGCACAGTCTCCCGGTCTTCCTTGTATGAGTGCATCATAGAGCGTCACTATGATAATCCCCATTTGCTTATCCTTAAGGATACGATGTGGTATGGTGGTGCCAAGTAGGTTACTATTGGAGACTATGGGGTTTTGTGGATGCAGGGTTGTATTTGTGTGCCCAATGTGGACGGGCTTTGTGAGTTGATTCTTGAGGAGGCCCACAGTTATCGGTATTTTATTCATAGGGGTGCCGCCAAGATGTATCAGGACTTGCAGCAGCATTATTGGATAGAGATTCCTGAGTTGAAGTGGGAGCGTATCACTATGGATTTTGTTGTTGGACTTCCATGAATTCAGAAGAAGTTCGACGCGATATGATTCATTGTGGACAAATTGACGAAGTCAGCATATTTAATCCCAGTGACAATTACCTATTCATCAGAGCGATTAGCTAAGATCTAGATCTGCGATATTGTTCGTCTTCATTGTGTGCCCGTGCCTATCATTTCTGATTGAGATACGCAGTTCACCTTGCACTTCTAGAGGGCTATATAGCATGAGTTAGGCACACAGGTTGAGTTGAGTATATCATTACACCCCTAGACAGACGGGTAGGCCGAGCACACTATTCAAATATTAGAGGATATGATTTGCGCTTGTGTTATAGATTTCAGGGGTTCTTGGGATCAGTTTTTGCTGCTTGCGGAGTTTGCCTAAAATAACAGCTACCAGACGAATCTTCAGATGGCTCCCTATAAGGCATTATATGGGAGGTGGTATCGTTCGCCAGTTGGATGCTTCGAGCCCGGAGTTGCTCGCTTGTTGGGTATCGATTTGGTTCAGGATACCTTGGATAAGGTCAAGATTATTTAGGATCAACTTCGCACTGCTCAGTCTAGGAAGAAGAGTTATGCTGACCGTAGAGTTCATGATGTTGCATTCATGGTTTGAGAGAGGGTATTGCTCCAAGTTGTTCGCATGAAGGGTGTGATGAGGTTCGAAAAGAAGGGCAAGTTGAGCCCTAGGTATATTGGACCTTTAAGATTCTTGAGAAAGTGGGTAAGGTGGCCTACATGCTCGCATTGCCACCTAGTTCATCAGCAGTACATCTGGTGCTCTATGTCTCCATGCTCCTGATGTAGCACGGTGATCCGTTCCATGTGTTAGATATCAGCTCAGTCCAATCGGACAAGGATTTGACTTATGAGGAGGACCCAGTGGCCATTCTAGCCCGACAGGTCTGGAAGTTGAGTTCTAAGAGTTATCCTTCAGTTCGAGTGCAGTGGAGAGGTCATCCGATAGAGGCAGCCACATGGGAGTCCATGTCGGACATGTGGGGTAGATATCCACACATTTTCACCAGTCCAGGTACCTTTCTATATTCGTTCGAGGACAAATGTTTGTTTTGGAGGTGGAGAATGTGATGACCCGGTAGGTCATATATAGTTTTACCCTTCATTTCTATATTCTGAGACCTCGAATAGCTCCGTTTAGCATTCCTTTTCATGCATAGTCCGGGTCTTTTTTCGGAAAGTTTTTATGAGAAAAATTGATGAAAATGTAAAATCGTGATTTAAAACTCATTTGAGTTGACTACGATTAACATTTTATGTAAACGGATTCGGATCAGTATTTTGATGACCCCGACGGGTCTGCATCGTGATTTAGGACTTGGGCGTATACCCGGGAATCGAATTCGGAAGTCCCTAACTTGAGTTAACGTGAATTTTTTGAAAACTAGCAATTTAAAGATTTAAAGAATTCCTAAGTCTGATCGTAGTTTGACTTTGTTGCTACCCGGTCTGGATTTCGGTTCCAAAAGTTGGTATAGGTTCATTTCAACATTAATCACTTTTCTACAATTGGTACAAAAAGGAGTTGATTTGACGTGATTCGAACATCCGATTGCAAAATTGAAAGTTCTTAAGCTTCTTTGAAAATTTCATTCGTTTTGGTGTTCGATTTGTAGTTTTACGTGTTATTTTGATATTTTGTCATGCGAGCAAGTTCGTATGATGTTATTACTTATATGCATATTTAGTTTAGATCCCGAGAGGCTCGGGTGAGTTTCGGATAGGCTACGGATGATTTTGAACTTGGAAGAATGTTGGTTTCTTTAGCCATCCTTATGCCTGGTGCATCCTTCTTCGCGATCGCGAATCTACTCTTGCGATCGCGAAGATTAAACTACACTGGGGATGAATTTACCCTACGCGAGCACGGTGAACAGATCGCAAACGTGGAGCTTTAGGGGGCTTACCCTTCGCGAACGCGACTGCCCTTCATGAATGCGAATGTTTGTTGGATTCTGGGAGAGTTGGGATAGTGTTCTATGCGAACGCGGTCATTGGGTAGCGAACGCGATGGCCAGGAGAGAAGAGCCATCATGAACATGAATAACATCTAGCAAACGCGAAGGCCATCTAGGCCGCAGTGCTGTCACGACCCAAACCGATGGGCCGCGACGGGCACCCGGTACCTTACAAGACCAAGTACCAACGTAACATATCTTTCTTATTACATCATCATATACACGTGACATACAGGTCTAATAGGCCAACATAATCATTTATAAATACAAAACATAGGCCGACAAGGCCGTACAATCTTTCACGTATACAACATATGTCTACAAGCCTCTAAGAGTACATAAATATCATAAAAGTCGGGATAGAGTCCCGCTATACCAAACAATACAGTTCTAAATCATACTAACCAAACAAGCAACTCCGAAACAAATGGATCGCACCAACATCTTTTACTGATCTCTCGACTTGTCTATTGGGACTTGCGGGCATGAAACGCAGCGTCCCCAGGCAAAAGGAACGTCAGTACGAATAATGTACCGAGTATTTAAGGCACATAAATAAGCACATAAGAGACATGGAAGAAATATAGAGTACATGACTCAACCTGGAAGTCTGAATAACTTTGTAAATCATAAATTACTTTTAGCGTCATGCATATGCGTATGAATTTCATGTCGTGCATAGGTACGTGTGTCATAATATCATCAGCCTCTGAGGGCATCCCATTATATCATATCGGCCACTGTGGGCAAAATCATCATCGCATACCAGCTGATCAGGTGGTGGTGCGTATATAACGCCATAACCTTTCCCATATCCCATATACATATATATACATGTATATATATGTGTGTATAACACCGTTTGATTCATATTTCAGCCACTGTGGGCAACATCATCATCATATACCAGTTGATCAGGTGGTGGTGTGTATATAACGTCGTAGCCTTTTTCCATATCCCATATACATATATTTACATATATATGTTTATATAACGCCATCTGGATATGGGTCAATGCACATGAATGCAATGCATGAAAAGTACGTTAATAAAATCTTTTTGAATTTCATAAGACCATTTAGTCTTTGAGCAATATCATAAAGTAAACATTTTTTTCTCAATTTTCATATTTTTTTGAGACCCATGAACAGATGATAAAATATTACGACACATGAAAATTCAGGAATATAGATATCTCTAATACTTCTATGAATAGAGTCATTTATGGAATTTGTGCATTTGCACATTTCGTTCGTATCGTATGGATCATGCCAAAAGAAATAAGGGATAGCCTTAACATACCTGAGTCAATTTTCTTGAAAATCCCTCTAACACCCTTCAATCGTGAAAACACATAACGGCAAGATCAGAGTGGAGAAAAATTCATATGATATTCTTGAGAAGATTGCACCGTACTTCGTTATAGTTGCAAAATCTTACTTTGATTTGAATTATTGAAGCCTTGTGCTTATGTGACTTAAGCTTGTAACATTCAAACATTTTACGTTTGAATACCTTGAATTCTTATCAGACACTAATTTGTAACTTACATGGATAAGATTCTTGCACTTCCAAGACTTAGTGGATTTTCTTTATTGAATAATGCCTTATATTTAGCCAAGACTTTCCTTTATTTAATTTCTTGTACGTGGCTTTTGAAGACTTAGTTTGTGACTTAGTTCCAAGTTTCATGTCTTTAATTTGGCCACATATTATAGTGCCTGTGTCACCATGTGATTTTGAGGGGTGCTGCCACGTTGATGTTTTTATAAGGCTTATCCAACAATTTATCCACTTTACTAGTTAACTGGGTAATGTCCTGTTATCCGGTAATTAATCAATTACCCGTATAATTTAAAAATTATTATAAATTACTTAAAATATTACTCACTTTCCACATACATTATATACCTTACTAGCATGGTCATGTAGTATGTTGTATGTCACTAGTCCATAAATACCGAGTATTTTAGCTCGGACCGTATTTTACCGCAAAATGCCAAACTTCAACAAAATTTGTTTTCTTCGATATTACTTACCCTCTTACCTTCACGAATTTACTCATCACTTATAATCCTTATAATCCCCAAATAATCTTTTCCTTGGACTGATTCAATTACTTTACGACAAATTCAACGTACATTACTGCAAGGGTGCAATATCATCGTAACTTATTACTGCGAAGCGTAACATCACCCTAATGTAATACTATAGGGTGCAACACTGTCGTAACTTATTACTGCGAAGCATAACATCACTTTAATGTAATACTACTGGGTACAACACTGTCGTAACTTAATACTGCATAACATAACATCAATCGTAATATATTACTGCAGAGGGTAACATCATCGTAATATATTACTGCAGAGCTTAACATTGTCGTAATATAATACTGCGCTACGTAATATTGACGTAATATTACGGGGTGTAACACCATTCCCCCCTTTGGAACATTCGTCCTCGAATGTTGACCAATGCTCTTATCATTTTCTTAACTTATATCTTCCGAATACTTTAGAACTTTCCTTTCCATCTAGGCGGCTATTCTGTGAATAAGTCTAAAGTCTAGGGCATCCCTCCTTAGGCCTCCTTCTCACACCACAACTTGTAGTCGGAATCCTTCCAATCTCGTAACTGTTGCTACCTTTCATCATGCAGCCGGTATAGTTTTGATCTTGTAAGTGTGCCCAATCTCTAGGCTTCACATGTAGAGCTTGATAAGATGTCCCTTTGGGAATCTATGAGTACACTGAAGTTCTTCGCTCGGTACTTGGTTGAATTCACGAATATTGTTATATCTCATCGCATAGGTCCGTTTAACAATCCGTATGAATTTACTACCATAACTCTTACTTTAATTTATCGTTGTTAAGGTCTGCTGCCAAATCCCAGCTTACTCTCATTGCTCAGTCCATATGTATAAATTTAAGTCCTTTAATGTTTCCTCATTACTATTCATCTTTAGAATGACGGCCTAATCTTATCTCATACTTTGTAACTTTTGTCCATCCATTGTTGATTCACCTCAATATTGATCTACAATATACCACTGATAACTTAACCTTTTATGTAATATAACTGCTAGGATTCACGTTTTATCGGGGAACATCTGAAATGATTAGATTGATCCACCTGGGGCGATACCCTGCTTTCATAACCGTACCTCACAGCATCACAATGCGATTCACCTTGCGTGGGTACTTTAATCCTGTCCAATTCATAAGATTCGTTTCTTTTCTTCGTTGAATCATTACCCAATCAAAGGCCCAAACGTCATCTTTTATCTATCACAATTACACCCTCATTCTATTACCAGGATGGCATTCTAAATGCTATTAGTCTTAGACTCATTTGAGTTCATTCAGGCTATAGTGAGCTTTGTATAATTTAGAGAAACCATCTGCTCTTATTTTTTTCATGGGCTTAATCCTGAGGACTTATCCATTTTCGTTACTTTCTCACTCGCCCTTTCCTATCCTATATCTTGTCTTCTAGAACGTTGTCGCTTCACCATATAATGGCTTGCGACCTACACAACTCTATTTATATTACTTGCAACCTTTCAACTTGCTTGCATCATAGATTTCCTTATGTCATTCTAGGACATCAAGAAATACATCAAATCGTCTCTAACTCTTCTTTACTGTCTTAATTAGCCTCCTCGATACCGAGAAACCATAGGCTATGAGATATGCCACTAACTATGCCGCTATCATTCCTGGATATTTAATCCCAGCACTTCTAGCCTTCTATCCGAAGTATGGACTATTCGCATATTCTGCCTTTGAGTATCTCGTACGCCGTTCACTTTTACCTTACTTACTTAAAATCTTGTGTCGTATCTTTTATCTCCTTCATAACCTCCCTTCCACCTAGGTATAATTCACGTCCATAACTTGAAGCTCTATTATAATACTCGCACCTCTAGTACATACACAATCCGGTCGGAGCTTCGTACTGACTTCTTATAAGACTGGTACTTCTTCTAACTGGCTTCTTTGTAGAGCCATTATAGATTATGGTTGTTGTGATTTCTCTTGAACATCCAATATTA